AGTGCATTAACCCTTGTCAGTTATGCTGTTGTCAGAGATGTGAACGCGGCTTCTTACCACGGCTGTATGATTCCCCCCACCCCTGTACAAATCAGGACGCAGACGAATATTTCCGACACAGCGTCTCGAATCTGAGTAAACTAAATCAGCGACCCAGGATGTCAGTTTGTGTAGCGTGCCGTTCGTTTGTGTGTTTAGTCAAGTAGAACTCGTCTGGGCTCCTAGGCGGTGTCTTTTGATACCCGTCAACTTGTCCTGCTTTTATTGTTTGTCTTTACCTCATCATATATTGGCTTGGCGCCTGCCTATGTTCGTCCGTTTTCTACACAAAATGTTCATTTTTAATACACAACGTCCAGTTCTTAATAAAATGTCCAGTTTCTTCACAAAACACGGTTTCTCCTCACTAGACTGATGTTGAACTAGCCATATCTTTAGCGCTCACGATGTTATTTCTGCCACACACGCAATTGCCATAAAGAACGTGTATGTGGAGTGGGTGTTTACTTTGGTCACACCTTTTCCCTGCTTTGGTGTGAATGTGGATATCCGAAAGAATTCTTGTTCAAGTTTATTGAAATTCGGACGCAGAAGCACATACACATATAGTTCTTTTTGTTTGCCCTTCCTTTCGTCCTCACTAGAGCATAGACCCCGTCCCTCACCCCTTGCCTTCCTTCTTCTTCTCTTCTACCATTTACCTCAGCGAAGTGTTGGGGCAGATGTAATTTTAGTTTGTGCGCTTTTTTAATGCATTGTACAAGCTGGTGTTCATTTCTGTTTGGTTGCTCCTGATGGTGTCGCTCCACCTCTTGCATGGTCTTTTTCTTGCTCTATTTTTATTTTATTTCATCAGCGTGGCTCTCTCTGTGACAGTTGGTGCTAGCTTATTCTCGTCAGGTGGCCAAACCACCTCATTTGTTAACACTTTAATTAATTGTTTGACTGGTTTCAGTCCTAGTCTTCTTCTAATTTCTTCATTCCTGATTTTATCTCTTCTTGTCACACCGGCAGCTCTCCTAAGACATCTCATCTCTGTTGTTACGATCTTCCGCTAATTTGTTATAGTAAGGGTCCATGTTTGGCACTGGTCGCACAAAGTCGGCAACAACAACAAACTTCTTATGAGATTTTTTTTTTTTTTTGGGTATCTTTGAATGCGTCAGAAGCGTTGTTAATTGTCTCATAACCCAATTTGCTTTCGCGCACCGTATGTTTATTTCTCTATCCATTCTTCCATGTAAGGTGAAAAATGACACTAGATAGTTAAATTCGTTTGTTTGTTTATTTCTTTGTTATTTACTTTAATTGACATGGTTTCTTCTTGTTTGCCTATTGTTATTGCTTCTGTCTTATCAATGCTTATCCTTATATTTCTCACACTTTGTATTGAATCGGTCTATATGGTTCTGTAAACTCTCTTCTATTCCCGCTATTAATACTTGGTCATTGGAGACGAACGATGGAAAGTGACCTGAGTGCGGCATCTTTGACATGGAAAACTGCACTGAAGATTGCACAGAACAGGAAAGCATGGAAAGTCCTCTCTGAAGCCTCATGTGCGACTAGGCATCACGAGAACTGATGATGATGAATACTTACTTGGTCATATGCAAATAACAATTGTAAGATATCTTTCTTTTCTTCGCTCTCTGCTTCTTTGCATATATTGTCGATGTATGTCAAGAAAAAAAAGCGGGGGAGATAGCACACATCCCTGTCTTACTCGTGAATTTACTTCAAAAGGTTGCGATGTAACTGCTTTTGTTCGTATGCAACCTTTACTTAATGTTTTTAAGCTTTTACACACTTCAGTTAGAAATTAGCTGATTCCATATCTTAAGCAATTCCACAACATATTCCTGTCCACTCTATCAAATGCTTTTTCCTGGTCTATAAATGCGACGTTGCATGTCTTATCATACTCTATTGCTCTTAATGTCAACTGTCTCCATATGCTTGTTGAGTCCGTGCAGCTTCCGTTACGTCTAAAACCCATCTGGGCTTCTGAAAGTTGTTCTGCTACTAATGGTTGTGATCTTCTTAAAATTAATTTGGCATACATTTTCCCTATGTAAAGCTGAATAAAGATATTCCTCTGTAATTCCCCCGGTCTTTAATGCGTGTATTTACAACTATTTAGCGAGATGAATGCCCCTGGGGGGGCGGGGGGGTTGGTGGGTGGGGGGCTGAGAGTCTAGGGCATGAAGATTTAGAGCCGCAAGGTAAGTGTAGGTGCCAGGGACTGTCATGTTTGCACGCGTCAGGGAGGAAAACTTCCCATCATATTATCCAGTATTTCAACCCATATGGGTGCCCTGCATTCTAGAAACCTGTCGAGCCGTGATGAGGATGAAGGAATAATAATAATAATAATAATAATGAGAAATAGAAGAATTACTAGGTGCAGGTTGTCCTACATTTTTATGAAGGAAAAAAAGATATGCTAAGACCCCAAAATCATAAGTTGGGAAAGGGAGGTCGACCTTGTTCTAGTTCTGTCTGCCTGGCATGTCGCTTACATTTTTGCATACGGAAGACATTTCACGCCGGAGACAGTAGTCTTTGGGCATGTGCCGGGAGCTTCTAGCAAGGTCAGTAGGTGGGAACAGACACGGGCAAGTTGCATGTTGCTTGACGTTCACGATCGTCCCACATTCTCTGTGACATTTGCATGCTGGGAAATGTCGGGTCGAATTTGCATAGGCTTATACGACTATGAGGGTTCAAGGAGAGCGAAGAATCACAAGTGAAGGGGAGAATTTCGCTAACGAATAAGCGAATTCCAGAGACATTGAATCATGCTATGACATTTGTCATGTAAAATTAAAAAAATAAGGTCTGCGCCAGTGATGCAACGGATATACAGTGCTAAGCCTATATTTTAATGGACCATTTGGCAAACTTTTTTGGGTAAAGTCATGGGAAGTAAAAGCGGCCGGCATGATGCTGTCTACATCACCCATCAAGTACTGACTGGTCTAAAAAACATTTGGTCTAGCACTGTATGCACAACTCGCATGATAGCGTGGAAATTGGAGCTTTCCAATGTTGTGCGTGTTTACTATGGGAGATGTAGCGTTCCATACATTTTCTGACACTCGTTTTAGATTTTTTTTTTTTTTTGAAGCATAGACAGGTACGGCTTTGTGGCTAAGTCGAGGCGAACGCTTCGTAATGCGGGGTACCGGGTTCGATCCCAACTGCGGGCCATGCGCCTTGCGTTGGTTTCGGCAGTGGTACCAGGAGGCCGACCGTCCAGTAAGCAATGGCAAACTACTGGATGTAAATTTGCCTAGAAAAACCACACAACAGCCAGGGGCTGCTGGGGTTGGTTCTGCAACGTCCTGTAAAGGATACGCAACTAACCTTATAGACAGGTAGGTAACCACCAGTCCCTAGGGATGCAGCAATGCTGCATGTTTCGGGAACAGCGTCTTCTGTGACTGCTAAATAGGAAGTGGCGGTTGATAATATTTACCCACTAATTTACTTGTAGTGCTATATGGGTCTGGTGGGTTTCCTCAACTTCTCCATCCCAGAGATTTCCTACATTGTACTGGTTTCTACGATTGTAATTGTTATATATCTCTACTTTTAACTTCATTTTACTTACCAGTAGATATTGGTCAGTAATTACTCCAGCTCCTCGGTAAACCCCAATATTGTAAAGGGTTAGTCTAAATGGATTGTTTGATATGCAACTACAGACACAGTTCTCAACCACTGAGTGATCTCTATCTCATATCTATTGTACACCAGTGTAACATTAAGTTAAACGATCAGCGACACAGGACCGTCTTTTTTTTCTCTAACACCTAGTCCCCCACTCTCTCTCTCTCTCTCTCTCTCTCTCTCTCTCTCTCTCTCTCTCTCTCTCTCTCTCTCTCTCTCTCTTTCTCACTGTTTAAGCAGTACTGTGTCATGAAGTTATACTTGACTAGCAACTAGACACGACTGTCCTTTTCTACCATTGAATTCTCTCCATCATGTTTCTGTTGTACATCAATATGACATTAGGTTGTGATAAAACTATCAACTAGCTTTTTACCCTATCATTGAATCGCTTTCAACTCCCTTTCTCTAGCTCCCTCTCTCTCTCTCTATCTCACTCTCTCCTGTCTCTCGCCTGTCTCTCGTGGTCTCTCTCGCTCTCCTCTCTCTCTTTCTCACTCTCTCCTGTCTCTCGTGGTCTCTCTCGCTCTCCTCTCTCTCTATCTCACTCTCTCCTGTCTCTCGTGGTCTCTCTCGCTCTCCTCTCTCTCTATCTCACTCTCTCCTGTCTCTCGTGGTCTCTCTCGCTCTCCTCTCTCTATCTCACTCTCTCCTGTCTCTCGTGGTCTCTCTCGCTCTCCTCTCTCTTTCTCACTCTCTCCTGTTTCTCGTGGTCTCTCTCGCTCTCCTCTCTCTTACTCTCTCCTGTCTCTCGTTGTCTCTCTCGCTCTCCTCTCCCACTCTCGCCGTCTCTCGCGCTCTCTCTTGCTCTTTCCTGTATACCCGATAGTAATGCATTTAGACTGTTTTTGTACTGGAAACCACAGGGTTAAAGAAAGAAAATGTATAAAAATACATGGAAGAGAAAATGAGTCGAAAAAGATAGGGAAGTGATAATTATTGGGAGGGCACGGACAGGAAAGGATGACTTGGGTTATCTGGTTGACGGCTACCTTCCTGCCTCTGCCTGACCTGAGACAAGGCCGTCTGTAGCTGTAGCTGGCCATGCCTGAGAGCAAGGAACCAACAATCTGCATTCACACAAGCTAGATCAGTAAAACGGCTGTGCATGTTAAACTCAAGTTCTGTAACAATATTAAAGTCTAGAAGTGGACGAACAACCAGAACTTTCCACCGGAGTTTACAGCCGGTGAATACTAACAATAAGAAAAAGAAGGTTGAAGGTCTAATGCCCTACTTTGGGATACAAAGTAGAAAGACTGTTTGGACGAACTCCTTCTACAGACAAGTCTTTGTACAATCATACACAATCTTCTGTTTTTCAGGAGGTGATTTTGAGACGAAATTCGACGGATGAAAAACTGGGATTGACTTTATGTTATGGATCGCTAGAAGACGAGATGACGGATATATTTATTAGTGAGGTAAGTAACGTGGTGTGAAAGTGCTTTGGATGGTAATGTGCCTGTGTGGGAAGTATTTTCTGCTGCACTCTTCGCGTGTGAAAGCAAATTGTATTACATGAGGCCTCTTTAGGGTTGCACTTAATAAAAATGTGTTTGTGTGGGAGTTTTTTCTGGGGCACTCTCATGTGGGGGAGTGGTATTGTGAAACGCTTTGCATACGAAAGGGTATATATCTATTGTTGCCACTTTTCTTTGACAAAATAAAACATCCAAAACAAAGTCCAAAAAAAAATATTTTAAAAATCTAAATTTGCTTGGAAAACATCTAGAAAAAAACATCCAAATAGAAAGCGTCACAAATTACATAGCAATTCATATGACTTACCCTTTAGAATCCTGTCCTCATCTTTACGGAAGTCTGCTTTATAAGATCCACAGGATAAACTTAGCTTGGATGATGAAGTCGAAGCTTCAGGTCCAAAATGACTCTGGTATGCTTTAGCAGTTTCAATTTCTTTTAATACCCAATCAGGGAGCTGATAAGTGGAACAGGCTTTTCCTACTCTTATCAGGCCGAATTGTATTGTCAATATAGCATTTAAGAGGTGAATTTTCATTGTTTCTTAGGTTAGATTTGATAAATTCACTCCCAGTGGAAACTATCTAGAAAAACATCTACCATCTAAACGTCAAAAACACCATCTAAATGCAAGGGAAAACATCTAAATCTGGATTTAAAACATCCAAAGTGGCAACACTAGGTATATATTCTGACAGTAGACATGCGGAGGTTGTCTCTTGTGGGAATGCATTTTGTGGCACTGTACATATACTGAATGACGTTGTGTGAACTATATATATTTGCGAGAGTACATTCCGTAATAGCATATGTTTGTTTGAATCCACCGCAGGTCATATCAGCAACGAATGTTGGTTGCAAGTACTCTACAGGGAAAAAGTTAACTGTGCACTCTTACAGACAACTGCAGCTGTACAACTCTTAGAGTTATCCTCCCACGTGTATCGTCGTCTACCTAGTTCGTCTGTCAACTTTCCCTCTCCACTAAGAAAATTATTTATTATATTGTAGTAGCTAATGTATTTCTGTCTCTCTGCCTCTCTCTCTCTCTCTCTCTCTCTCTCTCTCTCTCTCTCTCTCTCGCTGTGTCTCTCTTTCGCGCGCTCTCTCTCTCCCCTTTCCTCGTTCTATTTCAAAAGCGCATGTTCAACTCTGTTGTTTCCTTTCCTGTTTGTGGTAAACCCCCATGTTTCCCTTTGGTTGTTTTTATATGAATGTATCATCGGAATCCTGTTTAGCCCGCGCTAAACATAACATGGGGCTAGAGCAGTCAAGCTCCCCCCCCCCCCCCCCCCCCCCCCCCCCCCCCCCCCTAATGTCATCCAAACTAACCTGTGCAATCATTTGAATATCGTATATGGAATTCAGTTCGGCTTCATTCCCCCCCCCCCCCCCCCCCCATCCCCTACCCTGTCATCAACATTCAGAGTACTACATCAACAGGATATTGTTTTCTAGTTATATATTTGAGCATAGAAGATGCACATTTTAATGCCGTAGCTCTTCAGTGGCAAACATCGGTGGCTAAATGATTAAGACCCACGTAACAAAAATCAATGCTACGTGTAACAAGAAGGGAAGATCGACATAGGGACGATGGTATCAGGTGGAGAGTTAGCAGAAAACTAATACTGAACTGTGTAGGAAGACAACAAATCAATTGGTTTGGCCATGCAATGAGATTGGCATCAGGCAGGGCATGGCATCAGGTAGGGCACCAGAGAGAGCCATGTTATACAGATACAACGATAACAGGCCCAGAGGTCGACCGTGCAGACCATGGACCCCCATATATATCAGAGACACTGAAAAGTACTTGATATAAAGCGAACAGAAGGGCCTATTCTAGAGATCTTTTCCTGCCCAACGCCGCCAGCATTCCAGGAGTAGAGAAAAGAAGAAAAAGTAACTATTTTTTTTCTTTATGCTGTAACAAAGTAGGGCATCCATCGCTATTGTCGTACCCACTAAAGGCAATCATTGCAGTCATCATTCTGCCCTAAAACAGAGCAGTTTATGCAGTACTATTTAAAATCAGTTTTTACACCCTGGGTTATGGTGAAGGTTTTCTCATTGTGCTAATTGTACAAGACTTTTCATAACTTGGGCAAATCTTGCAAGCCACACTCTCCACCTCCATAGGCTGTGATTCTCATGCACCCCCCCCCCCCCCCCCACTCCCCACCCTTTTCCTTCCAAATCTCATAGCATAGATGGAAATATGCTGACTACAACAACACAACAAACTGAGTATAAACTTTTCTGTACAGTAACTGATGACATGAGACGAAACAAACAATGAAACCTTTCAACTGAAATACAGAAAATGTCACGACTTTCAAATGCGTTTTTACCAGGTAAACGAGGTCTCTCACTAATGTCTGCGTTTGCAGGCAACAACACAGACACACACAAATCACCTTTCTTTGTATTGGAACCTCGTTGTGAGCAGCGTCATCTATGTCTTCTGTACCAGAGTCTGGTCCTTTCTGTTTTTGAATACGCGATGACGATCCTGACTCTCAGCCATAAGCAGATGGAAAGGATGGAACAAATACAGAACGAGGCTATGCGCATTATACTTGGGTGTACAAGAGATACAGCATGTAGGGCAATGCGTTACCTTCTCGATTTTCCGACCATGGAAGACAGAATACAAATTTCTCGAGCAACTGCCTATCGCACAGTCAATGCGGACACACAACATCCATTACATAGTCAAATCAAGAAGATAGAAGGCAGCAGGTTAAAAAGAGGCAAATCCTGGATCGGTCAAGCCGAGGACGTTATTTTACAGGTATGTTCACTTGAGGACATACAACCCAACGAGGAGTGGGTGCAAGTGCCTTCAGAGTGCTGTACATCTTTTTCTGTTTGCATCCAACTAGACAGAAAATGCAGACAACCGAGTCCGGCTGCTGTGGAAGCAGAAGTTCAGGCCTTTATTTTCGAGAACGCTCTAGATGGTGCACAGATGGTTCTGTAATCCACCACCCTAGAAGCTCGTGGGCTTTCATGGCTCAGTTGGAGGGAGAGTTGTGAAGGAAGATTCTGGAGCTTTTGCCGTAACTACAAGTAGTCTGACTATGGAGGTCATGGCTGTGACTAAAGCAGTAACATGGCTAGAGACACACACTTTCACTGGAGCATGCTTTCTCTGTGACTCGATGAGTAAGCTGAGGAAGATAGAAAAGGGCTGAGTTCGAAGGCAGTGGTTGGTGGCTCTACAGGATTCACGGCTGACAAGGATTAATTTCTTTTCGTGCCAGGATATGTGGGAGTACAAGGACATGAGCAAGCCGATAGGCTTGCAGGGAAGGCTACTGTGAAATCTCGACAAGCCATGGACCAGGCTGATATACTGAATGCTCTAAGAGAGTTAAGACGTTTGCGTGAACCAACTGAGAACTGTGAATCTGCAACCTTGGCCAGACTGCAAGAACAACACGTTAAACGGGGGTGTCGCCAAACAAGAACACTACTCGGATAGCCCAAGAAGAAGAATAAACCAACACAGAACTGGTGTCGTCAGCCGCTACACGCTGTGGGATTTACTGAGGAGGGGATCCGAGCACTTATGGACTAAGTGGTTCGACGTGCAATGAGGATAATCTGTCGACTACTTAACTAACCTCGTTGTCCCGAATGAGTCTCTAGTTTTAACGACTCAGCTAGCTTTACTATGAAACTTCTCATTCTTCTTACAGTCCATGCCGTGCGGCTTGGTGGTCGCCTGTGTCCACAACCGTTCCTGTCATCTACTGTCAGTCAGTTCCAACATAGATGGTATCCCATGCTATGATGTCAAACTGCCCAGTATCATCTCTCTCGGTCTTTCCTCTGCCTCCAACGTTCCCACTGTCACGATGTACTCCAACTTCCTCCTTCACATGACATGACCAAGAATGTAGATTTCCCGCTTCTGATATGGGCAGTAGTGTAGATTTTCCGCTTCTAATATGGACAGTAATGTAGATTTCCCGCTTCTGATATGGACAGTAATGTAGATTTCCCGCTTCTGATATGGACAGTAATGTAGATTTCCCGCTTCTGATATGGGCAGTAGTGTAGATTTTCAGCTTCTAATATGGACAGTAATGTAGATTTCCCGCTTCTGATATGGGCAGTAGTGTAGATTTTCCGCTTCTGATATGGACAGTAATGTAGATTTTCCGCTCCTGATATGGACAGTAATGTAGATTTTCCGCTTCTGATATGGGCAGTAGTGTAGATTTTCCGCTTCTGATATGGACAGTAATGTAGATTTTCCGCTCCTGATATGGACAGTAATGTAGATTTTCCGCTCTTGATATGGACAGTAATGTAGATTTTCCGCTTCTGATATGGACAGTAATGTAGATTTTCCGCTTCTGATGTGGACAGTAATGTAGATTTCCCGCTTCTGATATGGACAGTAATGTAGATTGTCCGCTTTTGATGTGGACAGTAATGTAGACTGTCCGCTTTTGATGTGGACAGTAATGTAGATTGTCCGCTTCCAATGTGGGCAATCAGTTCTTATTGTCAGAGTTTCTTTCAAGACATCTTCATTACTTTTCTTACCTGGTAAGAATGGTGTCATCAGTCATCTGCGGAAACACATCTCCACTGCTCCCACAAAATATTTCACTAATTGATCAGTTGTCCATGATTTACAACAATACCCGAATAGAATTGATATCTTCTTCATCAGTTCGTTTGTGCGAGTTATGTAACTGCGTTGTGCAAAGCCGTCACACCCGACTTCAATCATTTCTTGACCCTGTTTCTTTCTCAGCCCATTTTGCAAAGAAAGATTGCATTGAATCTTCTTCATTAAACTTCACACCACTAAACCACGATTTACCCTGCAATATTTCTAGCAATTCAGTGTACCGCATAAAAACCCCATACTTTCTCCTAGTTTTACTGCAAGGTCGGCCGCACGCTACATGGCTGG